ACCAATATTTTGGAACTAATTTGGAACTATTTGGAACCAAGTTTTCAGAATTTGGAACTTCACCCTTTTCCCGTAAAAAAGATTTTAGGTTTAAATTTTTAGTCTAATACGGTCTAAAAAAAAAAAATTAGCAATCAGTTCGGTTCGAGTTCGCCCTTTGTTAACATTTTCAAAACGGGACCGGACATAGATGTATAGACTGTACAAATTACAATTTAACACAAAAATTCTATTTTGTAAAAGAAAACAAAATATAATTAGATTATCTTCTATGTATCCCGCTTTGATATTATGCCGCTGAGTTTAGGGACACTCTATATAATGACACAAGTAAATAACAATTTTCCAAAAAAAAAAAAATAGACTAAAAAAATTGAAAAACATTAAAATTGATATAATTAAAAAAAAAAAAAAGTTTTCTTAGCAAAAACCGCCTCTTAATTATTTTAATATTTAGAACAACTTAGTGTTTACAATTTCATTACTTTGACTACAATAAATACTAACCTTTATTTTACTCATTTTAAAAAATTATGTGTTATACCCAGGTCTTAAGTGTAGTTAAAATAAAATAAATAACGTCTATCTTACTACACCAGCGTTCTGCAAATGAATGGACTATCTTGCAAATTGTAATAGTTATAAAAATAACTCGGTATTGAAAATATATTATCCGTAAAAGACTATATGTATATTGAACCATTTAAATATAAATTCATAAAAGTAACACTTCACGGACTTGTCCAATAATAATAGCCTGAATGTATTGTGTTCAAAATAGCATCAAATTATATGACAAGATAAGGAAAACCAATAATAATATGATTTATATTAATTTTATCTTAAACAATGTAGTTTGTGTTCGAAAATATTAAAGTATATTTACTGTTATATTTTTATACGTTCGTAGATATTTAGTTAATTTTAATACACTTTTCGTAAATTTCTAATTATATTGGCAATTTAAAATAGTAATGTTAAAGTTTAATGCCATATAAAGCTACGAAGAACCATAAAATTGTTCTCATTGAATTGATAATGCCTGGGTGAAGGATATAACTTTTTTAAGTTGCTAATAGTTATTTATATGTTGTAAATATTTACATGGATAGCAAAATTTGACAACTACAAAAATTATGCTTCCTAGTTTCAAAATGTTAATTTTAGATACTCCGAAATCTCCCTCCTATGAGCATAGCAATATACTTAGAGCACATATGGTCCGGAGTTTAAATATTATATTTCAATGGTAAAATAAAATTGTCTGCTAATCATAAAGATATATTTTAAAATGTTCTATGGTATTATATAACATTTATAGATACTAGTAATGCAAATTAATTTTTTTACCAAATTGAAAAACAGATTTCTAAAAACAATATTTTAGGTATGTACTAAGAAATATAATTTTGAAATTTCAACTTTGCAATTTTTAGATTTGTTTTCTTTTAGATAACTAATTTTCCTTTTTTAAGCATTAACTAATTTCAAATCTCACAATTTTAATTTATTATTACTATTTTTTTTTAAATCTGTAGCCTATATTAACTATAGATGTTTCGGAAAACTAGATTCTAATTAATTTCAAATAAGATTCAAAATATTGGTGAAGATTTGAAGTCGATAGGACAAAGTGAGGGGAGCAGCGAGAAGTTATTCCCCTCCAACCTAAAATCTTTTTTACGGGAAAAGGGTGAAGTTCCAAATTCTGAAAACTTGGTTCCAAATAGTTCCAAATTAGTTCCAAAATATTGGTAAAGGTTTGAAGTCGATAGGACAAAGTGGGGGGGCTGCGTGAAGTTGGCCCCCCCCAACCGAAAATCTCTTATTTCGAGAAAAGGGTGAAGTTCCAAATAGTTCCAAATTAGTTCCAAAATATTGGTGAAGGTTTGAATTCGATAGGACAAAGTGGGGGGGCCAACTTCACGGACGTATGATAAGGCTGTTTTAATCCACCGATTGTCATTAACCAGCCATTAATACATATATTATATTAACCCGCTCATTTTTTCCAGCTCCGCCTACGTGAACAGTAAACGTTTACATAACATCATATTTATACACGAAATCATTTCCATATTTTTCAAAGGTTTAGACTTCAGATCATGAGTAAACAAGAACCTGATCAGTAGTGCTTGACTTGAGGGGGGACGCAGGGTGACTAAGTACCCTTATTAATTTTCAGAAATTTTAACGTGCCCCTATAATTATTACGCTTAATAAGTCTTGAGGACGCTATTTTCTTTAAAGTAAACAGACTGCTCTTTAAACAGAGTCTCCCTTCTTTAATTTTGCCAAGTCGAACACTGCTGATCAGGTGATCGACTATCGTTTTTATATTATATAGGTATTGTTCTGTGATATTATTCTATAGTTTTAATATTTCTGATAGGTACATAATTTTACTAGGGAAATAAAATCCCGTTGGTTGGGAAGACTGTATACGTTCCGCGGACGAACAACACTTGTTTGAATTGATTACAATTTACAAAATATTTTGGGCGTGTTATTCAAACTGAAATTGCTATTAAATAATTTATTTTTGTTTCCTTTACTTTTATTCCTTTTTTAGTGATGTAAGTTGTTATTTTATATCCTTTTTAGTTAATCCGTCCTAATAATCATCTCGTACACCATGCCGTCCGCACTGTGTATCCTTTGCATGACCTTGTTTGTGCTGTACAGCGTTTATTCTGGTTAGTTTTAATCGCAGTTGTTATTCGTCTCATTTCTGCTGTCGTGTATTATCTAAGAATTAACAATGATTGTGTTTAAACTTTCAGTGTGCGGTCTCATGTGTTGGCATTGTGATTCACTGCATGACCCGAAATGTGTAGATCCTTTCGACAATCACTCGATGCCCATGAAGGATTGTAAACTAGAAAAATTGGATACTTACCCGGGTGTGCGAGGCACAATGTGTCGGAAAATCCGTCAAAAAGGTATGTGTACCATAGTTATTCACTTTAATTAATTAATTAATTAATTTGACACAGTTTTATTTGTGTTTTTAGTGTATGGCAAATGGAGGTTCTATCGAAGCTGTGCTTTTTTAGGAGAACCCGGCATTGGTGGTGATGAACGTTATTGTTTAATGAGGACAGGCACTCATAATATATTCACTGAATATTGTACTTGCAATTCCAGAGATGGATGTAACGGTGCATCTGGCATTTCTTCCTCTGTATTGAGCTTTATATTGGCACCAGCTCTTATATACAGAAGATTGATTTAATGTGTTCATCAAATAAGTAACTAAGCTTATCAGTATTATGTATATACTATTGAGAAATAATTTTTTTGTCAGGTACCTAATCTATTTTTATAACGAATTTTTTAATATTTGAATTAAAAAATAATGATTGATTTCAATCATTGATATTTTTGGTACATATGTGTTATTATCCTGCGATTACACATACAAATTTTATTACTTTGACAAATCAGGTACATATCTATATAAATCTATACATAGTATTTCTATTTTTAATGGTAATAAATGAATACTCAGTATTTTTGAAATAATTATTTTATATTATATTTGCAATATAAATATATGTATAATGCACAATACAAGAATCTAAAAATATTTTTTTATACTAGATCAATATTTAGAAATTGTAGCAATGCAATGTATATTTTCTTATCAGTATATCCCTTATTGTAAAATTTTTATGGAAAATGTGTTAAAGGCTTAATATATTATCATAACATTTTTAAAATATATTTAGAAATTTTACTTTGATTTTAATACCTATCTATTTAGTATTTATCATAATCTTCATTTTTATTTTACTGGAACTTGATACTTATGAAAATCAATTATTTATAAAATATTTTATCTTAATTCAAATAGGCACTAAGTAAGATATTTGAGTACTTTATCCTTTTATTTATCAATAATTATAAAAGTATACTGTTTTAGTAATAATAATATTAGGCATTAGATGAAGTTATACAAAATTGTACTTGTAATGGTAGGTTATAACACATAAATACTATATTTTTTTGTACAATGATTTATTTTTAAATAATTTTATTAATATGATTTATTTATTTTGTTTATATATTAAAACTGATACAAAAAATGTAAATTTAATATTTATAAGTTTTCTTAAGTTTTTTTTTTTTTTGTTTTTGACCATCGTTAATGGTTATATGATTAGTTGTGATTGATTAACTAAAAAATGTAAACGATCCGTCCATTTTTTAGATAATTAGTTTTAAGTATTAATACAAAGATATTAAATAAGTTCTTTAACATTAAAGTTTTAATTATTTACATGCCTATTTTATAAATTCTTACCTAAATAATATTTTTTAATTATTTAATGTAACCATACAATTATTGACTTGATTTTTATTTACACAAATTAGCATTTTTTGTTTGTATATCACTGTGCTTTTTATTTAAGCTAATTATTATTAAAAAATTGGTAAATTAATCTTTTGTATTTTTCTAACAATTTTGAATAACTCGATATTCAGACAATTAAACACTTAAATATTTTGTATTGTAAATTTTAATTTTCTCCTCTCATTGATTGTGGTTGTTTACAGTTGAGAATTTAAACAAATAATTTTAAAAGAAAAATGATTGTATTAAATCTCTCATTGGTTTTTTTTATTATCTTTCATTTTTAAAAATAATATATTTTTTATATTTTATAGAAGAAAAAAAACTTATAATATTTGATTTTAAAATTAAATGTTAACTATGTAAACCAAAACAATGTATTAGAATTTAATTTGTGTTGACTGATGTCTTGAGTAATGATCAAAGAATTATCACAAATCTTTATTTTATGTAATAAACATAATATAATATACAATTTTTTAATTTAAAATTTGTATTTTTCTTTCTATGCTAATTAGTTTAATTTATTGTCCTATAATTAAGTAATAAACATTTTATATTTAAACTGGACATTTGTAACTAACAATTTAATATTCAGCAAAAATGGTTTTTTTAGTATAAAATGTTATTTCTAATTATTATTTAATAATTAGATTGATAATTAGATGCCCTGTAATTACTTAAATTACCATGTATAAATATAATTAACAGATAGATGAAAGTTTCATGAGATAATTGTGTAGCTAATTGTAGCTATAATACTTATCCCTCCAGTTTGAAAAGAAAATAAGGATTGGTTTTTCATGGGATGGGAAAAAACATGAAAAGATACTGAGGCAAAGAAATTAGTAGTGTTGATAGTAAATTATATTTTCGTAACAAAAAAATTTGAGGTTATGAATACAAAGTCAGAAATCAAATTTCAAAATAAGAATAGATTAAAGCTTATACTTTTTGTCTATGTGAACTACTTGTCTTTGTAACAATTTTTAATTGTTACACCATACTTATAGTTACTACTAAGCATATAATATTCTATAATTTTTAGTAACGAAATTTTTTTTATAATCAGCTCAGTCTCAAAAGGTTCCTTTATTTTATGTAAAATAATATTTACCATTTATATGATCAACGATTAATCGAATAAATGGTTGGTGAATATTGAATGTTGGATTCTTAAAACTTAATTTAAAATTAAAGCTATTTAAAGATACTTGTATTCCTACCACTTCCTTAATCTTGTTACTATTGGTAGGTCTGTGATAAATTTGATAGTTTTAAATAACAATTTTCTGAATTTTAATATCCACCCAATGCACTTTATAATATGCTAATATGTTAGAGCATTATATAGTTTTCTCCAAAGTATTTAGGGATATCTACATTATTACCCAATGACAGTAAATATTCAATTTCATTTACCTCTCAATTTTTTGATAATATGCGTACACATATATAATTTGAAGATTTAATTTTTAAATTTTAATAGTATTTTTTTAATGTCTTAAGATTCCTTAATTATTCCTTCTACCTATGTCTTTAAAATGACCAACTTTTGTATTACTTAATTAACTTACAGAAAATGTCTTGTTTGTCCTCTTAACTGATAATTTGTATGAATATTAAAAAGTGGCAGTACCAATACTCTGCCTCATTATTTCATTGTTGTGATTATGATGGATGAATTAAATTATTCATTTATGAAAAATTTAAAAGAAGGTAATTAAAAAAAAGTTATTTAAGATAAGAGTACAGTTGATAAGTGTTTTATCTATTTACTTGCATACTAAAAATGTTTGATCAATTCATAGTTGTTTTTTATGTATATACATATATTCTCCTTATTACTTTAAAAAATATGTGATCTATGATAATTATCTGACAACTATTTTTGTATTATTAATTAAGAATGTAGGCATATGTATAATTTATTATCTTATGACTTTTTTTTATCTTTCCACTATAAATATACACATAATATATGAATATACATATATGTATATATATATATATATATATATGCTAGATAAAATCAGAGCTATTTCATTTTTATTTTAAATTTCAACAGTAACAATATTTAACATTTTCTTAAAGCATACAAATAATAAATATGTAATTTGATTTACCCTGAAAATTGTATATTATTTCATAAATTATTATACATTTTTATTTTTTAACAGTTAATTATACATAATAGTTAAATTAAACTTTAATTATCTAAACTATTGACATTCTGAAACGCATTAAAAACTATAATATATAAGTAAGTATACTTTTATAATTATTAAATAGTGCTTTATTCATTAAATTAAAATAAACATGTAATTTAAATGTTTAAATAGTTTCAATTTTATATTTTTATCAATATTTTTCAAGCATATTTATAAAATGATTTACTTATACATTTCAACATTATTAATGTGATTTAGATAGAATAAAATTACATATTAATTCAGTTTTTACAATAATTAGCTTACTTATGTGAAATTTTTATTAATAATTCAAATTAATTTGGCATTTCTAGGATTTACCTTATTAATAATTATGAACACTTAGTTTAATACTTTACTAACTAAATAAGGCGGTTAGTCAATAAATTGTCATTATTTATTCACAGTGTAATTAGTTGATTATATTACTTTTATTCTGTATAAACGTTTCTGTACTTCTGTTTCACAATATTTTTGATGACCCATATTAGGCAATTAATATGATTAATGTTTAGTTTAATAATTGAATCCAATATTTTTAATTTTTTATTTATTCAGTAAAAAACAAATACTTTAATTATTTTTGTCAGTACAATTATATCTTGAAAAAAAATGTTGGTTTTATTTATTGAATTATCGATTTTCAGCAACAATACAAATTATCTTTATTACAACTACAAACAACTGTAAAACTACATCAAAGCACTGAGAGAAGTATTAAACTGAAATCAAGAAATTAATTCAAACAATATTCAACAACTAATTAAATACACAGTTAGTGTATTAATTAATCCAATTTTATAAATCTACATAAAATATATTTCTCAAATGACATTTATGGCAGTGTATATCTTGTTTTGTGTTCCAGTTTTTTTGTTGTATAAGTTTATATTATGTAAAGAACATAGTGATATCATTTATAAAATTAAACACATCATTTAATTTCCTAAAGAATGTTTACAAAAACATTATTATGACTTAAAATGTTTAAGATTCATCCATCACATTCAAGTTATTTCATTTAATACTTAATAAATTATGTCTGGCGTTACGGATTACTGCTATATCATATTTCATGATTAAGACCATACATTATATAAGTCAATTACATTCATGAAAAACTTATATTATTAGATCGAAATTACTTTAGCTCAATGTTTTGTTGTTTTTATCAAAGTATTTGATATTACCAAGGATTCATAAGATAAAAACCACCTAAATTTTAGCAAATGGTTATTTCAGGAACAATATATACAAAATTAAAATAAATCAGGTAATTTAAAAACAAAGTTTTTGCTTCATAATGTGAGAACAGATTGAGTAATTGGTATTAAATTAATAGATTAATCATAGGTCTAGGCAAGATAATTGAGAATTATATAAATGTATTTCTTAAAATAGTTTATTTACTAAAATGAATAATTATATGAGTAAAATTATAAAATGTATAAAAAAATAGGGGTGACACTATATATTTTGGACGGAATTTGTTAACAAATTAAAGAATAAATGAAGATCATTGTCTTATTATATACATAGCAATTAATGAACACAATATAGTTATTACAACAGAAAATGGTGTAATGTTAGTGGATGAATTACAGTTATCCTCTGAACAATAACATTCTTCCCAGTATACTCCATTCCATTCAACTCCCCAATTGCACACACCAGTTACTCCAGTATCTGACACTGAACCACAACGACGAATTACATTCCTCCAACGACCATCCCCTATAATTTTTTATAGATAATTATTTATCATAGTAAAATCCACAATTGTAAGCATTACTTACATATAAATCCTCTGAGGCCTTGTTTTGTGACTTTAACACAAAATGTACCGGGTGTATGAGATTCATCACTGGTACATTCTACAGGGATGTGACGATCCTTGTGGAATTTTTCATATGCACCACAATTATCTGATCCCTTGGAGTCACTGCTTGTGGAACATTGATAGCATTGAATTCCACTAACTAAACAACAATTTAAGCTTAAATACCTCTATTGGTCGTATAATTAAGGGCGTGACAAAGGACAGCCACACCTATTAAACTTCAAATTACCTTCACGCAGAAATGAAAAACTTAAGATCAATACAAAACATGAAAGTAAAGTCGATTTCATTTTGTTTAAAAAAAAAAATCAGTAAATTTATGTATAAAAATAATTAAACTGTACGATATACAAAATAAAATAACGTTTGAAAATATTTACATTGTTTTGTAAAAAGAAAAAATAAATAAAATTCAAAATCAAATATAATAAACTTGATAAATGATAATGGATAAAATATAAACAAGACCATAGCATAAGTACTTAAGTTACGAACAAGATTTTCAGTATCCATTCAGTGGTTCTCAGTGTTGTTTACAATAGAATGAAATTAATTTCAAATTTAACCGCATTGTTTTGTTATTTGATTTAATCGTGAATAATATAACGAGAATTTCTTCTGATTAATATCTAACTTCCAAACTAAGAGTACTTTGTGTTTAAAAATTTAAAAAATAATTTTTTGTGTCCATGATTTTTTCCGCCATGATGACGCCATCTTCAATTTTCTTTTTATCGACCACCGTGTGTCCGTGTAGTGTATACTCCAACTTTATATATCCTTATACTTTACTGATGAGTCCTAGTTTCACTTAGTTTACGTATTCACAAAAAGTACATTTATATAATATTCCACGGTTCATTTTCCATACATCGCGGATTTTGTTGAAGTCTTATGTATTAAAAAAATAATAGTCGAATTCAGGGCGGACGGTGTGTCCGGCGTATTCATCGACGGTCGACGGGTAAGCATCGACCGCGATAGAGTATACTTTCTCTTATTGCCAACGCATAGACACACACTATCATATATTTCTGTACGCACGCAAACTCCCTCGAATATACACAGGTCGGTGATTTATAGGCGGCTTGTTTACATACGGTGAATGGTTTCTAGTATGGGCTACAGTCGAAAGTAAGTCGATTGTTAGTTATGTGTTGTCTAACGCGGTGTGTCGTCGAATATATGAATTAAAATTAAAACATTTAAAGAAGAAAAAGTTGCTTACCAATATTACATTTCTTAATAGCCCGGTTATGGCCGCGAGAGACCGTAGACGAGGACGGGACAGACGAAGTCGGAGTCCAATACGTAGACGTGGTGGTCGTGGGGGAAGAGGTGATCCTGGAGCGAATTTACGTAAACCACGATGGGATACGAAAAAACTGGAACCATTTAAAAAAGATTTCTATTTGCCACACGAAACAGTACATAACAGGTGATTTATCTATGTGAAAACTATTTTTAAACATTAATTTGATGCTGAAGTCTATTCAATTTAATATAATTAACTAAATTATTTGTATAATTGTAGTTTCATTTGGTTCACTACTCTATTCTTAAATAAACATGTTTTCATAATTTATTTATTTTTACTGATAAATAAGATAAATTATTTATACTTATGTATTATGCTTATATTATTATTTGAACTTCCTTTCTTAATGGCATCGTTAGATCTTAATTATTTCATCAGCAAGTAAGAAGTTATCTTTAGGTTTTATATATTTATTTTGAGATGGCCCTAAGATTCTTATTGATGCATTTCATGTATTCAAAGGTAAACGTAACTCTCAGTTTAAAAGATTTGTGGTGGTACATCAATAATGCACAGAAATTGTGGTAATTGACGGTTGTAGAATTTTCGCACAATGTTGTTTATTGAAACTAATAAGAGAGAATTATTCAGTACTATGAAAATCATACTAAGTAGTTACCTGAACATACCACAAAATTTGTCTGAGGAAAGAAATTATACTTGATGTGGCTTTTAGTTTACATTAAGTTGTACACCGAATGTTAAAGTTTATTCAGTTATATCAGTCCATTATAATAATTATGTGTCATACATAGAAGATTGATTATCAATATATTTCAGATCACTATTGATGAAAGCAGACTAAATTTTTCTAAGATCATTTATAGTGCATATTTTTTTTCTTAGAAGTAGATCTTCATTGATTTTAGTATCTAAATGAGAATTTGCAATTAAATTTTACTCTCTGACTTACTTTTCATTAAATAGAAACATTATTTAGAGTCATGCTACATTTTTGTGATTGGTATACTATATACACAATTTAAAGTTTTTTACAATCAACTTTACTTTATTTTTAACTATTATGAAATAAAAATTTTAGTGTATTATTATTTCAAAATGTGCAATTTTTTTGTGTTGTTTCAAATATAATTATAATGGATTCCGTTTAATGTGGACACATTTGATTCAAACTCATATTCTCTCATTAAGTAGTTGGTAATTGTGGTCTTGTTTTGATGTGTGTATTATTACGAATGGATCTTCGCAGGAAAAAATTGTTTGTGTCCATATATAATATTGCATACATTTAGCCTCTTTTTTTTTGCAGTTAACAAAGTGTGATAACGCTAATAATACATAATAATACATAATTTGTATTATAATAATCTTATATATTGCTAAATTTAAATTTAAATAGTTAAATCAATTTAATAATACACAATTTGAAAAAAACACGATATTCACTTACAATCGTCATTTAAAAGGTACTATTCAAAAGTAATAAAAAATATAACATTTTTATTACTCTCATATTTCTCCATACCTCTAAGTTCAAAGTACTATATTTCAATCTTTATTAAACGAGAAGTACAATGAATTAATTGTAAGATACAGCAATACTCAATTATGGTATCAAAATGAAATTGGTAAATTAAGGTTTACTACAGCTGATAGAGCAAAATTGGCAGGTAGTTTATTTTATTTTATATACTATACTACCATCTATACTGGTTCCTATTCAAAGGGTATTAAATTATGTCCAAGATTCTGCGGAAGGAACAACATTGAAATGTTTATAGTATGAGTGTTATGGCCCAATTATGGACCAAATAGTTAGTAAAATGTATTAATAATCCAATTTTGTATTTTAAATACTGTGCAAGAAGATTTTGCCGCAAATTTAGGAAAAGATGATTTTTGTATTTGGAAATGACTAAATCTGTGTTGATGGGACCGATGGTTAAAACTTTAAACAGTTAGGTAAGCTTTTATAGCAAAAATATAAAATATTAAACCTAATTATAAAATTTGTATTATATTTTTACTTGAAGTATTAGCATTGAATTGTGTGTTTTTAAATTACGATATAATGTTTTCTTTATTTTTTTCGAATTGTGTATTATTAAATTTATTTAACTATTAATGTATTAAACTATTTTAATTTAAACTTAGCAATATATAAAACTATTATAATAAAAATGATGTTATCGTTTTATCAATTTTAGACATTTTGATAACTGCAAAAAAGGGGCTAAATGTAGGCAATATTGTATAAGGCAGCGGTTCCCAAACTTTTTTCCGCGGTGCCTTTTTTTGGACTTAATTTAGCCACGGTGACCTGCTGTGAATAACATGAAAGACAAGACAAAAAAATATATTTATTGATAACTAATTTTGTTAAAATTTAAATTAATGAATTTTCAAACCTGAAAATTAAATAAATATAATTATTGTTATCATTATTATAATTATTAGATAAAAATATTATAAGGTTAATATGAGAATGTCCGAATATACAATAGAAAATATTTCATTATTTGTTATAAAGTTTTTACGAAAATAATAAGGTAAAAAAAATGTTTAACATTTTAAACTATTTATTATGAACCGTAGACCACGGTGCCCTTAGAAAGTGCTCATGGTGCCATTAGGGCACCGCGCTGCACAATTTGGGAACCGCTGATATGAGGACATAAAAAATTTTTTCCTGCAAAGATCCATTCGTGTATTATCTGGGTAAAACTCAATTTTGTCAATGTACCTTTTCAGGTAGTGAGTACCTATGACCCTACATTTTTGGATACCCTATAGTTTTTTATACATTTAAATGGTCTAGTTAAGATCTAGCTGGAAAATTAGTATTATATTATACTATTTATATTATATTATATTATTATATTATACAATTATACGTATAAAAAATATTCCTTCTTTTAATTTTACAAAATTATTGTTTAAAAATAAAATGTATGGTATTTTTTATGAGTTCTATTAGTAAAATTTTAGTTTAATAAATAGTTTATTCCATTTTTTATGTTGAACATCATGTTTAAAACTATTTTAGAGTCTATATTATAACTTTACAGGCAACGACTATAGTGGCTACAGTTTTCAAACAGCCGGTCATCATCTTGTGTACAACAAATTTTTAGAACTTTAGCCTATTAACGTAGTAGATAAGAGTATATAAACCATTACTTGTATTCAGAATTTTGTTAATCAGGTAATACCTGTAAAACCAGGATACCAGGTATCAAGAGTACTAGTTGGCAATATAAACTTAACTTAGTTTTAAAATACCAACATTTTTAATTTTGAAAAGTTTTTATTTTGCACAGGTAAGCTTTAAAATTAGAATAAAAATATTAAATTAAATTAATAGATAAATAAATACACAATATAATAATAAATTATATAATCTCAAGGCACATAATTTTTCAGCAATTTTACATTAAGTGCCTAGATAAAAAGATTTCACTTTATACAAAATTGCTATTTTTTCTTTAAGAGAAAGAACTTTTTGAAACATATTCGAATATGTTCATGATAGCGTTGAAATTTATGGTAAAACTGTATGAAACTGAAATGTTTTTTGTCGAGTTAAGGAAAAGAGCCACAAGTTAATTGATTTATTTTTTTTTATATTGCTCTTGATATTTATCTCATACTTCCTATTCATTCAATTAAACTCACAACAAAATCACATTAAGGTTTAAAATTAATGATTTTTATTATTTTTATTAAATAAAATATTCCCATAGATATGATGAAATCCAATTATAATGTTAATACATATTCTAACACTATGTATATATAAAATAAATATTGCCCACATAAACCGAATCATGTCCTCATACTGTGAGGTTTATTTTTATCTTGTTAGTATACATTGGATTTTTGATCAAACAATATTGCCCTTATTAACCGGTGCTCACATAAAACGGAATCCATTATATTAAATAAACTTATATCACCTTAAATTTACTATCTTATTATTAAATTTATAGTAATGTAAGAGTTATATATCTTATATACTTACTTTATACTATAAAAAGTTACCGATATGTTAATGAATGAAAATAATTTCAATAATTTTTTTTTTTCTGTTTATTGCTGATGAAATATATATTTATGTTCATAATATTGATAAAATAATTATTGAATTTAAATCTTTAGATCAAAAGCTGACATAGAAAAATACAGAGAAGAAAAAGAAATAACATTAGTTGGCGATAATATTCCTAAACCAATACTTAAGTTTGATGAAAGTGGCTTTCCCGAAATAATTATCAAAGAATTAAAGTAATTTTATTGCTCTTAAATATATATTTATTGATTATAAGTTGTTATTTTAAATACCTATCCTTGCATAGGAAACAAGGTTTTGTCGAACCAACTGCTATCCAAGCCCAAGGATGGCCAATAGCATTATCTGGTAATAACTTGGTTGGTATTGCTTCTACTGGTTCTGGAAAAACATTATCGGTACTTAATAATTTTTTATAATCATATATGAAAAGTGTGTGTGTGTAATTATATATATATATATATATATGAAGTATTTTTATCTTCTAGTATATTATACCTGCATTGATACATATTTCTCATCAACGAAAATTGTCACGAGGTGATGGACCAATTGTATTAGTTTTATCTCCTACTCGAGAACTTGCCCAACAAATACAGACTGTTTGTGATGATTTTGGTGATGCTTTTGGAGTTAGTAGTACGTGTTTATTTGGTGGAGCACCTAAAGGTGGTCAAGTAAGTAAAAAAAAAAGTTTTTATTTACAAAAATGTTATTGTTATTTAACATTAAATGTACTCTTTAGGCAGCTGACTTGAGCCGTGGAGTTGAATTAGTTATTGCTACACCTGGACGTTTATTGGACTTCCTTGAAAGCGAACGTACGAATATGTGTCGCTGCACATACCTTGTTTTAGATGAAGCTGATCGAATGTTAGACATGGGTTTTGAACCTCAGATTCGAAAAATTATTGATCAAATAAGAGTATGTACTTGGTAATAAATCATACTAATGACAATATATTATGTGTTTGTTCATTTGCAGCCAGATAGACAAGTATTAATGTGGTCTGCAACATGGCCCAAAGAAGTAAAAAATTTGGCTGAAGAATTTTTAGACGAATACATACAAATAAATATTGGTTCGTTAACCTTGGCAGCTAACCATAATATTCAACAAATTGTTGAAGTTTGTCAGGAATATGATAAAGAAACAAAGTATATATTTTTAAAAATTATTATTTTAATTTTTATCTAACATTTGATATTTTATTAGGTTAATATCACTTTTAAAAAAGATAATGGATGGAGATGAAAATAAAACTATTGTTTTCATAGAAACTAAACGGCGAGTAGATGAAATTACAAGAAAAATTAAAAGACACGGGTAAATTATGAAATTGAATAAGATAATTATTTTTACACTTATATAACAACAATTATTAGGTATTCAGCTGTATGTATTCATGGAGACAAATCTCAGTATGAAAGAGACAATGTTTTGAAAGGTAATAATTGTTAATATCATTATTTAAATGTTAAAATTAAAATAAATAAATTATTTTGTTTAGATTTTAGAGATAGCCGTTATCCTATATTAGTTGCTACAGATGTGGCTGCTCGTGGACTTGGTGAGTAATTATAAATATTATTTTTGATGTATTAGTTGATATTATAAAGCATAATTATTAAATTATATGTTTGAATGAAATTGATTTTGAGACTATTAAAACAAATAATTAACTTTTCTCTATAAATCAAATAATATTAATATGAATAAATTGTGTGAATGCAATTTAAGATTTAATATACTTTAACATAATATTTTAATATCAATACCATGACTCAGTTTTATTAATTTTTATTATAATTAGTATTTATAAATTTAAATTTTTTATTTTAAATAACCATATTATGAGTATTATTAAAAATAAAAAAGTTATATTTTCAGTTTTATTTATTGAAGTATAAAGTAATATAGGCTTATAATTTGATTACTATAAAATTTAATGAAAGGATTTTTTAATTATTTTTGATAGTTGAAAAAATATTTGATTACAATTTAAGCAGTGATTGAACTAAATAATGTGACTAAACGCACAATCGCTGTTTCAAATTTGGCTTTTATTACAGAATGGTACCCTAATTGTGATAAAAAAAATAATTTAAAAAATTGTGATTAAAATAACTTAATTTTATGATAATTAAAAAAAAATAATTTTTCTATTTATTTGTTTTAAAAATTATTCAATCACTTTATAATTGTTATAAATGTTTATAATAATAATTTGTGTTATTACGTTACATTGCATATTCAAATTTGGAACTTTAACTTACTCGACTTATCAGCTCTAATTTGTTGAAATCATTGGCTTTCGCTTACAAATTAATATTTGCTTTATTTAAGGGGATTCGATTCGGGTAGTTTTTAAGGGGTTGAATATAGGCAATTTGTCACACGCGTGCGTGAACGCCATGAGAGTATGTGCGAAATAAATTATCACTATAGTGACACACTTATAGTGTGTGTAATTACCCCGTTCTAAACCCTCTTCCAATATGCCATGCCGGCCCGCATGGCCCGCATATTGGCATTCTGGGGTCGGTCTCGGCACCTTTTAACTATTTGACGCTTTTAATTAGTTCATTTGAATCTTAAATTACCAACCATTAAATATGGTTGATATTATCATTGATTATAAATAATAGTATTTATAATCAATGATATTATCGATAAACGCAAAAGAAATTCGCGCGGAAATTCAAATGAACCAATTAAAAGCGTCAAATAGTTAAAACGTGCCGAGACCGACCCCAGAATGCCAATATGCTGCTAATCACCATTGCACCGGCGCGATGGCAAAACCAGTTTTCTAATAATAGATATAGATATCACAGAATTGCTTATTTTATAATATATTAAAAAAGTAACTTCTTTGTATTTTAGCTATACCATAAACCAAACACGAATGAACTACAATTGCCGATTTCTAAAATTTTCATTTTCATTTACAAAATTATCTATGTCTTATCTTTGAGAGTTTATTTATAGGCCTTTGAATTATGACAATATTTAGCCCAATTCCATTTAGGTATAATATAATATAAAATAAACAGATTGATAACAATGCGGGTACTATAATTAACGGCAACGATTAGCGGAAGAAGGTTACTTCCACACGCGCATGCACAAGTCAAACTACACTATTGCGAGGAATATGATTTGGTTCGATTTTTTTCGAAAATAATCAATTTTTTGCCAATCATACTGGTTTTCTTGGTCATCTGATAGAACTTCTAAAAACATATTTGAATTAGTCATGGTGTTAACTTGAAATCGACTTTTTTTACATTTTCAAATTATTTTATCAATTTCATATTATTTACATTATAAATTTATTATTAGATTTTAAAATCAATTTTTTAAGGGTATAAAAATAATAATTCAAAAAAGTAAAAAAGTCGTTTTCAAGTTAACTTCATGATGAATTCAAATATGTTTTTATGAGTCTTATCCGATCATTAGGCAGGTCAGTACAATTGGCAGAATATAGGTATATTTTGATAGAAAACTTAACCCGGATCGAATCCTCTTAAATATTTAATCATTATTACCTTAATTTTAAAATACACAGAAGTTGGAATACATAGTTAAGTTGTTACTCAGTTTTTCCGCTGCTGAACTTCTTTCTTTTTTCTTATAATAATGCTGTTTCATAGCTATTCAGTTTTTGTTAATAATCTATTTAAAAATGTCAAAAGTAAGAAACTTTTTGTTACAATTTAACAAGTCTGTTTAATTTATAACAAATTATATTTACTTTTTATTTATTTAAGATTTACTATAAACTTGTAATTTTTTATTAACGATGCTTACCTGCATGTTTTAATTCTATATGCATTATAATTTATGATGATTAGAAATATTAACATAATATGTATACATAGTTAATTTCAAAATGAAGTAAATTTATTTAAAAAAAAATTGAATTATCATCATACCAATAATTGATTATAAATTGATCTTGAGGAGAACCTTAATGATCAATTATCTTCAAAAATCTTAATATTTGTTAAAATATAAATACATTAAAAGTATACTTGTATTTGTTTCTAAATATTTAATTAAAGCAACATTTTTTTTTTTACTAGTGATCTACTTTATCTATTCCATAATCTTCGCTTTTAAACTTATAAAATAATAATTAAAAGTTTATTATATTGTTCAAAATATAAATAAAAATAATAAAAAATATAATAAATGCTCATTGTTATAATATAAAATAGTTATTACTCGATATATTTAAGATATACATGTTCGAATCTAATTTCTAATATGAGATTTTTATATTACATTTGAAATTCAAACTAAAAATATATAGATCTAAAAAATATTACCTATTATATATTCATAATATATTTGTTTATTGTTATACAGTACTCGAAAGATGTTAAGTTTATGGTATAAACTAAATCTTATATATTATCATATATTATTATTTATCATAAGTTATTGCTATTATTATTTTTGTTGGAATAATAATCATAATTTATTAAAAATAATACTTGGGTACTCACTTAACCATAGTCTATGCACTCAACAATGTCAATATAAATAAAAATATACAAATACTTTAATAAATAAAATAAAACATAAAAATTATACAGCAGTTTAAAGCCAATTACTGTATGAATACCATAATAGACTAATAAAAATTAGTTAGAAAATATATCCTTATCCAGTTTTGATTTTTATTTGTAATTCATGAGTAGTGCTATTTTATTTACTTAAACAAAATACACTTACACTTCTATATTATGTACTGATTGATGTATTAAATAAATCATATTTACTAAATGATGATATAGTAGTAAAATAGTACTATTTTATAAAATTCTCCATATTTATTATAATTTTATAGTTTATTTTTTATTATTTAAAATAAATTTTACTATTGGTTTTAATTTTTATTAAAATATATAAAATATTATTGTATTTTATTATAAATTATATTTAAAAGAATAATTACAAGGGAACAAATATAATATAATATTAAAATTTTAAAAAAAAAAAAAAAAATGTTCAAATTTATATTGTTTTGAATCAACTTTTTGTGGTGTATCCATAATTATCATAAACATTATAAAATAATTGTTGAATGTTTAATTCTGGTTTAAATACTTTCAACTCAATTAAAATATATATATACAAAAAAAATAAATAAAAAAATTTGATTAAAATATTAAATTTATCAATGATATGACTATCGTTGAACATTTTAAGAATTTAATATATTTATACAATACTTTATTAGAAAACATTATTTAAATTATATTAACTAAACTTACTGTTTTTAACTGTTATTATATTTATTAACTATTTATATTAACTTGCAGTTGCTAATTTTTATTAATGCACATTATTGAAGAATTACTAATATTAATCCTTTTATTAATATTTATTATATAAATTAGCCATGGTAGTTTTCATGGAATTCTTTTAAATTATGTTTAGTGTGTGTCTGTTATTATGTTAAATCTATGTAGCTTATACTTAAAATGTGCATTGAAATGTAACGCAAATTTGTTATATGTACACGTAAAATGGGTATATTTTTTAGAACTACCTGAAAATATAGGTGTTTGATATGTTCTGTTTTTTGTTTTATTTTACATTACAGAGGCACACACAAGCTGTACAATGCGTACTAAATTTAAAAAATACTTAAAAAATGTATCAATGTTGTCGCATTGTCGACGCTGTGCCTCAAAAAAGGACATGCATAAATTATTGCGTGTCGGTCTATCTGTGTGATCGTGGCGGCTCTGGCTACACCAGTAGTTTGAGTGGTTTCGCACTGGTGGCAACGTGGGGCTAGTCATTCCACACTGCTGCCCCCCCCAACTGCCGCCTCGATCTGTCGTGTGTGTGTTGTGACGTGTCCAACGTCAATCGTTGTCCCGTGTGGGGCGCTTAAACACGTACACCGGATGTCGATGGTAAATAGCAAATAAACAAAATGTTAACAATGTTATTTTGGAGATTCGTTATGGTAAACGAAACTGATTATGGAGTCCTAGGCAATACAGCAACATTTAACAACTACAAGTGTTGATATATCTTATTATATTTCTTGTAATTAATTAATTTAAAATATTGTTTAGATGTGGAAGATGTGAAGTTTGTTATCAATTTTGACTATCCAAATAACTCTGAAGACTATGTGCATCGTATTGGTCGAACTGGTCGATCCCACAAGACTGGTACTGCTTATACTTTCTTTACACAGTCCAATGCCAAACAAGCTGCTGACTTAGTGTCAGTTCTAACTGAAGCTAATCAGACTATAAGTCCAAAATTAAAAGAAATGGCTGATAACTGGCGTTCTAATGGATTTTCTGGAAGAGGTACAGTTAATAATTAAAATTAGACTTTTTTACTATCAAATAGCTTTAAAACATATTATCAAAATAAATATGTATTACATCTTAAGGTGATAGAAGACGTGGATGGAGAAGTGGTCGATCAAAAAAATCTAAAAGTCGTTCAAGAAGTCGTGATCGTTACAGACGTAGATCAATATCTAGATCCCGGTCTCGATCATATTCTAGGTCTAGAAGTCGTAGTCGCTCACGGTCATATGATAGACATCGCAGGCGTAGACGTAGCAGGTAGTACTTAAATGTAATTATATGTAGCTTATATTTAATATTAATACATTTAAATTATATATGTGACTACAAATTAGTTATTATTAAATGTAATTATTGTAATATTTTATATTTACTTTGAATTTTAGGAGCTCGGATTAAAGAAAATTAATGAACAAAAAATATATTTCATTATGGTTGTTTTATATTAGACAATGATTTTTTTTTCAACTATTGTTTTTCCCCTCTTATTAATGATCAATTTCTTGACTATTTTTGGGTTTTACATTAAGATTAACATCGTTATCCATCTTTAATTTTACACAAAAAAAATTTTTTCACAATATAATGTTTCTACTTAAATATAAAACAACTACATTTTTTTATAATATTCATATATCTTGATTTTTGTTTTCATTTATTGTTGAAACTTATGTATTTAAATATATAATTAATTTTAAATGTATGTAGTTTTGATTAGTTTAATTTCTTTAATCTAGTTCATTTTATTAGATAATTAGATATTTTAATGTTTATGTATTATTTGTTACACTCCATAGTTATACCATATTTAAACAAATAATGTATAAAAATATTCTTTATTAATTAATAATTATACTTTAATTTATGTACATGTTTAGGTTTTAGAAATTTTCTAATTAATCAAATCTAAATAACCAATCCTATTTGAGTTTAATAGTCAACATAACTCCAAAATGTAAAGGAATAATTATTGAATCAATTGTAAGTAAAAATAAATATAATATATATGTTTTATAATTATTCTTTTTGTTTATTTTGTGTTGTATACAGTTAATTTTAGATTAAAATAAAATCTTACATAAATTCAAAACTTTTAATGGTTTTATTCTTTGTTAATTATTCTTTAATTATTATTAATTAAAATATGTTAACTACATTTTAATAATTTTAAAAATATTTACTATCTTGAATGGGTCTTGACTAATTAGTCCCAATCTTCCAAAAGACACAAAAAAATATAATGAAACAAATTTAGTTTTAATAATTTATCATTAAAAAAAAAAAAATTGAATCTTATAATCTTGAGGAAATTGTATTACAGATTATTTATTTTTACACTATAGTCATGGTATAGTATAAACATTTAAAAATATCAGTTTTGGCCAATAATAATATTGATCATTTTTACAGAAGATAGCATATTGCATGATTGAATAAGTTATTAATTATTAATAATGACACAATATTATTTATCTAAGTTTTGTATTTTAGGTATAGAAAGTAACATATTTAAATCCTTGGACTTCCAAATATCCAAAATCTTTCTCAAAACGAAAAAAGTTGGTTAGTTGTGAAGTATTTATTTGAATTATAGATTCTGACTACATTTAGCAAGAAAGCTTGGTTTTACATTTTGTATATTTTTATTTTTTGTGTGTACAAGATTTTGATTCATCCGATCGTCACAATCTTGAAAAATTTTTGATCAAAAATGTTGTCTAGTTTGTTCCTTCAGAGGATCATTTTACGAAATTACAAATAATATTTTAAATATAGTAGAACTCAAACAAGACTCTCTCATATAGACCAGTTAAAAATAGCATATTAAATAGTCATCGACCAAAAAAATTGTCTATTTCATTTATTATATTATTTTTTTACAATAATCTATTTTAAAAATCGACTTTCATTTCATATTTTCAAAATAAAATAAGTCCGATTTTATTAAGATTTATCATTTCGTTTGTATAGTTGTATATCATAGACACGTACACAGTATACTTTCGTATAATTTATATAGAAAGTTCGGAAAGATAGAGCGTACTTATTATTCGGAGAACATTAAAAATTAATAATGTTAAGTTTTGAAGTTTGAAAATTTTCAAAATATTTCAACCTTTTTTGAGATATTTTAAAATTCCATGGTTTTTTTCCTAAATTGTCAATAAAATTATTTTGGGTTCACCAAAGACATTGAACTTTCAATTTTGATACTTATGGTTTGAAAATTGGATACAAGATTTTTCATAAAATTACAGATCCAAGATACCTTTTTATTCGCAAAAGTTAGATAGATAAAAGTTCAACCTACCTTGTTAAAACATTTTGTTCTACTATTATATCGAGCGTCTAATGAAATATAAACTGATGCACTCGACCTCTTTCTTTCAAATTTTTTTTTTTATTGGTCAGCAATGGTACATGAAGTTTTTAAGACCAATATAACAATATCATTCACTCGATCTCTTAAAGTTCCGTCTTTTTTTTTATATTTATATGTTAAAAATTAAGTTGTACTAATTAACTAATATAATTTAATGTATTAATTTAATTGTTATTGATAAATTATGACTGAATTAACTATTAATATGCATTAATATAAATTATATCGATGAATTATCCAATCATTTTTTTATGAGTTACGTGAAAAAACTAAGTATGTACGGCCTGAATATTGTAACTAATCATTTTTAAGAAAAAAAGTTTACAGCAGTTAAAAAACAATTTATTTTTTTTGGAAAATGTTCTTCAATCATGCATCTAAGTAATATTGATCCTGGGGTTTCCCAGCCCTGAATCTGGTATTATCTGTATCTATAACTTTTTTTATCGATTCTATTTTTTATAGTTGTACACCTATGTTTTTATGTTGCGTGCCGTGTTGTGTTTTTAGTTTATACTCCTATTTTTATGTTAATTTATGTAAATTATATATTTTATAACGTACGTTGAATTTTTAGTTAATTTACTAACGAGCGAGTCAACGAAATAAATGACATGGTAAAAGTTAAGGTTAGTTTTTACATATTAAGGTTCAATGCACCAAAAAAGTTAACTATACAGTTGATACTGTTTTTGATAAAGGAGGTGGTACATTATCCTACCGAATTTTTAAATTATTTAAACCCTCCGGGAACTCCATCGTTCAAATTAATTCTAAAGGTAGGTTCTTCTATAATATTACTTCAGAACCACGGTTATCTAACCGTGTTCGGAACTTAATTACAACGCAATCTCTCAGGAACTTTTAATATCATAATTTTAGTCCCCGATTTTTCCAATACCATGGCCCATCTATCTATTTTATAGTCAATGATATTAGATACTCGTGTGACGTGACGTAGTGTAATAAGACTATCTAAGTTTTTATCTACATTATTATCGATCATTTGACCGCACGCTACCCCGTGAATAATGAAATAGATAATAGAGTATAGTATTAGTTTTATCTAGCTATAAATAGATAATAATAACAAGACTGCGATAGTTGAAATTGAATGAACCAATGTGGTATATAAATTTAATAATATTAGGTACTTATTATTATTAAAAATATCCAAACGACCAGACACAATATCTGACATTATATTATATTGTAACCATAAAAATAATATTGTAACAAATGTAAGTAGGTATTATGGCGCGAGGTCCTGGGCGTGGGCTCAGCTCGCCCGGCACTGAGTACAAGCGATGTCATAAGTGTCATAAGATGTCATAATATGTCATAAGATGTCATGAGTGACGAACACATAATGCTTCACCGTCAGTGGTCACTTGACCTAAACAATTTTTGTTAGTAGTGGCTCATATCGCAGACGTCACCCGCTATTGAAATTGCTCGTTTCCCTCCTTTGCCACCTAATATATTGTTATAATTCTATTTAAATTAGAATTAGAATTTAAAATAGAATTAGATGGGATAATAGCAGTGGCGGCTCATGGGGTTCACCTAAGGTAGTTCACAAGAAATGGAATTACCTATGTAAGATGGTAAAAATATTAATTTTAAGGCCATTGGGTACCGGTCAATTTTTCCGTTAAAACTACCTATTTAACTTCAATTGTTCTGATCGTTGTATTGAAGCGATAAGACTTCTGAAAATATATATGAATTCGGCATGAAGTCTACTTGAGATCGGTCGGATTACATTTTTTTAATTTTGCCCTCAAAAATCACAAATTTGATCTCAGTTTTTTGATAAATATTAAATTTTGTAGTAGTGTTTAAAAAACATTTTTAAGTACAACTGAAAAAGTGGTCCGACCGATATCAAGTAAACTTCATGCTGAATTCAAATAAATTTTCAGAATTTTTATCTCACCAATACAACGATCGGACTGTAGTAAAACGAGTGGTTTTTGAAGGAACAATTTTACGAATCCTAAACAGTAGCCATGCGTACAGACTTGTGCGTGTGCGTACGAGAGTCGCCTCGGCTGGTTTTTCTAAGAATAAGATGTGCGCTCTACGATAATGCGATATCCGGTTTTATACACAAATAGGTACATTATTATTATAACCGATATAAACAATTTATTATTGTGAATGAATTGAACTATTGAAGCTTGATGCAAAACATTATAAAATATAATTCTGTGTTCGACGGTCGACGTCATTCGTCAAATAAGCAGCAATAACGAACCACGTTTTATTTTATTTCCCGTTTATTTTACACGTTTTCAGTTATAAGTAATTGTGTTTTTTGTTTTAATTATTGATTGTTTTAAATTTAATTATAAACATGGCAAATTGTACCATCAAAAAAAAAAAAGCCACCGTTAAGTAGAAGAAAAAATAAAGGAAATTCATTGACACTGTTACAGAACCAACGAACATCTAAAATTGATATGGTTGGTGCTCTATACATTAAGAACTGATTTTTTGATCAAAAAACCGGGTGTCGACGAACTGGGCACAAACCCTCTATACAACATAACATTTTTAGTCTTTCATAATCGTAAATAAATAGATCCTGTAAGAAAATTTGTTTTATATTGTAACATGAACATAAATACGTTCGTGTACTTTACCTGTTGCCCCACGGCCGATAACCTATATAAAACGACGCACGATCGCGACAATTAGAATCCACGGAAAACGAAAAACCGGTTATTATATTGTTTTCATTGTCATCAATGAAGTTCGAGCCGCGACCATCGCCGTCATGACGGGAGGGTGTAAGATAACAACACTCACACTAATGTTCACTTACTACGCACACAACGACAATGCGTAACCCTGAAAAACTAGAAATTGCCTATCTACAACTCCTTGATTACGGCCGGTACCCAATCGCCTTAATATAGGTGCTTGTAGGTGTTATTGATGGGTTAAACAAAAAATACAAACACAAAATTAAACTACATATAATTATTACAATTTATAAATTAATAAATAATAATAATATTCCGATATTCGTACAAAGAAACTAATAAACGCATTCCGCACACGGAGACTGCACGGCGTTCAACAAAACTACCTATATAATGGCGAATAATAGCCAACTGATTTTAATCAGATTTTATTATATTATATTATATTTATATTAGATTATACAGATTATATTAATCACGATTTTAATCAAATTTTATATTATATTAGTAATTAGTTGACTTGGAAGCACATTCACTGGCATGTGCACTGTACATGTTATCGTTTCGACGAACGACGCGACATCGCGACACAATAAAAATAAGTTCGGTGCACACATGCAAATGTGCTCTAAATTACCATAATATTCAGTTAGTAATATATTATATTATATTATTAACCGACGTGTCGAGGCATGTAGCTAATATTTACACGATTTGTGCTCCGCGAATTATTTAATCGTTTATAGACACACTTCTTAACATGAAAAACTGCAAAAACTTTTTTTTTTTATTACAGAAAATGTGCATGATAACCAATTATAAAATGTACCATAGGAATATAATTATTTTTTTAATTTTTTTGGATGGTTCACATGCTCCTGTGCACCACATCAAGAGCCGCCACTGGGTAATAGTGGACCTATCGTTCGATCGTCGTACTCCGTGTGTCGTAATAAAACGTTTTGCACACAAAAAATCACACATTTAAATAAGACTAAAGAAATTTATTTAGTGTGTAAATCATTATGTACGGGTCCAGTAGTTCCGGCGACGTGTACAGCGCGCTGCCGCACGGCATCGATTCGTTTTAATCGCGGGCGTCGCTCCGGCGGGAGCGCACGACGGCCGTTCCGTGGCCACGCACACGTCAGCCAACCGGATGCACCGCTGCCGGTCCAGCGGCTCGTTGTCCAGCTTGACGTCTCGGTGCGTGGAACCCTTCGAGTGCACGAACTCGAGTGCCGAGTACAGTTGCGCGAACCAACCGTACGCCAGCGGCTCGGGCATGTGATCCACCGCGTTGTAGTAGTCCATCAAAGTGTCGTCCTGAAAGTAGTCCATGACCATGTACAGCCTACGCAACAAAGCACGCGGACGGTTGGTCAGTTGCGCGCAGGTGTTATGTAAATACATATGGTTACCGTCCGCGGTCAGAGCAAACGATAACAACATTACCACCGCGCCCCCTAATACTGTAAGTTTTCAAACTCCAGATCTGACGACGCGAAAAAAAAAATAAATTTCCACCACACCCCGTGTAATTCCAACGCCTGACGCCCGGAAATCTGAACAAAGGTCTTAAACACGAGCGGGGCAGTAAAGATTCGGACCACTTACCGATATCGCAGTTGTTTTAACTTTTCGACGTTTCTATTATTTCGTGGTACACATTGATGTACGTGTCATCGAACAAATCGGCAAATTTTTGCTCATTGTCGATCGACCACTGGAGGTCATCTTACCTTATGCTCTCCGGCATTTTTTCGATTACCTTGATTATCATCCGTCTATCATGCCGTATAGATCTGACCATCAAAATTGCCCCGAATTCTCCATCGCCTATACGTTCGGTTATAGTGTAGCCGCGCTTCAACAAAGATTTTCGCTGAACTTGGTTCATCGTGTTTTTATTTTCAGATATCTTAAACGGTACTAAGAAAGTTTTAAATATGTAGATAGTTTTATACGATTGCACAACATCACTTCTATGCTCTCGAATAAACAATAATTTTTACGGTAAGTAAAACAACATTATTGAACATTGTGCCCATGTTTACCATTGCGAGATATTTTAATAGCAACCAAACATATAGTTAGTACATTTAATACGGTAAAAATCACATTAGTCTGTAAAATTATTATCGATACCAGCACATCAATTATTTAATAAACTCAAACTGTAATTTATATTAATTTTTACTCTTATTATAAGTAGGTACATCGCATCTGTTAAATTCCGTTGGAATTTTAGCTGATAAATCATATTTATTTAATGTATTTATTTGCATTATTATACACATTTTGGTGATTATGAAGAATAATTAGAAACCTATTTTAAACTTAAATTTATTAAAATACAATCGACTTTAAGTTTAAACCACAAAATTGCGTTATAATTAGGGAACGAATTTATGTGTAATAAAAATATATAAATATGTACATATTTATGTAAGTATAATTTATAAAATATGTGCTAAAACCATCCAAATATGTAGGAAAAAAATTTAATAAAAAAAAAAAATTATAATTATTAAATTATCAAAATGATTTGTTGCATTGAATTATTACAATTTTAAATTATTAAATATTAAATATCGCCTATTAGATCTGAAAATATTTTTAAAACTGCTAAATGATCGTTCCACATTAACCTACATCGGTTGATTTAAGCATATTTGAAGGGCATAATATTAGAAGGCGATAATTCCAAAATTTTAGAAGGATGTCTGCCACTCTATGTCATTGATTGATTTATAATCAATATGGCCTGAAATTTTTCTCTGTAACAACATGAATTTTCTTTTTTACAACTTCGCCTATTGGTCCGTTTACGAGTTTTCATTTTGCAATCGTTGATTCGACAATTTGCATACTTTCATTCAAGGACATATTTTTGTTTCTTATTTTGTAAATGTATGTGCAATAAAACTAAAATTCACTGAGATGAAAATTAAATTAGTTTTCAATGTTTCATTTTGCATAATATTTTGAGCTTTACTAATAGCGATATAAGTTCTGGATCTAAATTTGAAATAATTTCTTGTATTTTTGTAGGAAGAAGACGTATGAATGATGAAATAACAAAATATGTTTAAAAATATTTACAAATTAGTGATATATGTAAAAATATGGAATTATACCAAAATATGTAAAAATATGTAAAATAAAAGTAGCATCATATTAATAGAAATGATTTAAATCATGAACATTTCTTATCAAATTTTAAATATCTCGTTTTAATAAAAATATGTATTTACATATAAATCCGTTCCCTAGTTATAATTAATATAAGTTTTTCACTGTTTACTATCGACAAATATTTAACGTACAATTTGGTTCATTAACATAGTTATTCTTAACTATTTATTTATTTATTTGAACGTGTAATATCGAAACTTTTTAGAACATTTTTCTATATATTTATATAAATTATTAATTTATTTTAATTGAATTACTATTTATATATATTTGGTGATATCGCAGTGAAATATTAACGCCCTATCGGAATTATATATTAATATTTCTGATTATAGATTCTTAGATTTTGTCAAAGTGATACCGAGTTGGGGTAGTGATTACGTAATACGTTGATTGTCTGGATTTGGAACGCAATGAGAACGATATTCACTTGTTTACTATGTCTAAATTTACATTAATAATATTTAGCATTCACTAATTATAGGAATTTTTGTAGGGGTTTGAATATTATATTCGAGTGTTAATTCAATGAAACAACAGAGATGCAATTGGATGGCATGTATGTAACAAATACAATCATAAACATTGACAATAATAAATTATATTAAAAATAATATATATATATATATATATATATATAACTCTATAGCCAAAAAAAGATAAATCTAGAATTGAATCATTAGTCAAAAATTATAATAACTACAAAATACACAAGAATCTAATTTTATACTTACAAGACACCAAATATTTATACCCAGGAAAAAATTTTAAAAAAAAAAAAATGGTAAACCTTTTTTTTTAAACTATTATTTTGTAATTTTTTCTTTTTTTTTTCTAGATCTATACAGTATTTTATGTGTTTATACATTATTGTGTTATTTACCAAGAAACATTTTCTAATTAAACACATATTTTGTATGGTTTATTTTAGTTTGTAACGTTATTATAATACTGAATACTTTTACTGAAAAATAAATTTATTAAATCCTCAAATAAAATAAAATTTAGAAATTTTTACATAAATAAAAAAATATAAACTTGGTAACGTAGCCTACAAAAACCTTCACAATCGTTCATTTTTCTGCAAAAAAAAAAAATTCTTTGATAAACGACATTCGTTCGCAATTGTATTGTAATAAAGGTAAAACGTTCGCAATCGTTTGCTACCCGATAATTCATGTGAATAATAATTTTTAATTTTTATTTATCTATATGTTTTTCCTCGTGAGTATTTTATCTTAACTATTACCATTCAATTTTAAATTATATGGAGAAAATATGCTTACTTTTTACAGGGTGTTTCTGACTGTTCTGAACAAATAAAATAGATTACATTTAATTACGTATTGATGTAATCCATACATAATGATTTTCATTGTTAATATTTATTACTAAATTTCAGCAACATATTTGATAGAAAATCTATATAACTGAAAGCTTCGCTTTTAAATAAAATATTCTTCTCAGAATAAACCTTGTAAAATTAGATATGATTAGCAACCTTTAAGGTTTAAAATTAATATTACATTGTCTTTACTACAAAGGTCAAAAAATCAAAACCAATAACCGAACATGTATACATAATAATTCGTGTTACCTTTTAGCATAAACACGTAGCTATTTATTATAAAAGTAGTTTATAATATACATATAATTGGCTAAGTAATTTCATAGTAAGGGCTTTTATTAATTCATATAACAATAATACTGTGTTACTTTTTATTTATTAACAAGGCTCGGATCTTTGAGTGCTAAAAAGTACTCAAATATGTGCATAAATATGTATTGTAAAACATCATAATATGTGGTAGTAATATGCAGTAAAAATTTGGAAAATATGCAAAAATATGCAATTTATATAAATTAGGTCCATGGGTAAAATAATTAATAGAAATAATAAATAAACATTTCACACTTGTGTATTGTTATATCTTGCTGTTATACAAGCTATACAATCTTCATCAAGCTTAATTTTCTTGAGTATAAATATATAAATACTGATAACGACCACTTTATATTATGATATGATAATAATGCTTTAGTAAATTTAGATAAAAATACATTTTATTTATATAAAAAATATGGTGTAGGTAAATAAATAATAACTATTGTCAGGAATTCGATATAAGTATATGTTAACTTCATATAGCACGTGTAGGAGTTAACAACACTGTGTTATACAGGAAATACCTATTTTTGTTGAATTTTACCATTTCCAAATACATAGTATTATTACGCATTCATTGATTAATCAATAATTTACTTCCAACTTTTAACATTATATAAAAATATATCATATTTAGGGGGACTATTAACCTTTCACTGCATGATTTTTTATTAATAAATAAAAAAAATGTTTTTTGATAGATTAAAATCTGTAGAATCCAATAAAATTAATAAAAACAATTCAGTTATGAAATCTAAGTACTCAATCTGACTCAATTTCAAACAATGCATGTAGGCCTATGCACTTGCATGCGTCATTAATATATTATGTAAAAAAGCAATTATAGAATAAAATATTTAATACATGATTATTATTTAAACACAAATTAGATTCTAAAAACATGTTCTGAAAGTAAAAATTTAGTTAGGTATAATGAAACAAATTGAAGCAATTTCTTTCTGTAGTACAACATAAAAAAACATCGCACTTAGTGCACTTAGCGAATGATTGAAATTTACATTTTGGTAGTTTGCATACGCGTCCAAACGTATTTTGGGGTCGAAGTACCAAAATTAATTATATTATCTTCAGAAAAATACACAGGATAATTTAAAATATTATCAGCATCGTCTACAGCTTCATTTAAAATGCGGTCGTCATTTGCAAATAATTCCTAATTATAAAATAACAAATTTTAAGTATAATAAAATACTAACAATTTATGAAAATAAAAATAAGCAACTTATGGGAAATTCGAAATTTTCGTCATCACTTAGACCAATATTAGCAAACTCATCGTCGCTTTCAATTGGTATGCTTAAAATTCGTTGAATTCCTGATTCGTTATTTACTAAATTATTCATTTTAATTTTATAATTTTTTAATAATAGCTAATCGAAAATTAACTTCGCAAACAACTACAAGGCAAAAATTGACAGAGTCGAGAGTAGTAATTATACTGCATGGAAGTGCACCAATGCATTAGAACAAAATACGTCATTATACAGTATTCAACATAAAATTATTATCTTGGGATCTATATTAATCATATAACAGACATATCCTGAAGTGTGATATATTTTTTTAGATTTCCCATCGATTTTATTTTCGTTATAACCCACATTCAAACATTGTCTGATAACGGACATTTCATAATGTTACTCACTTGAATTTATTTTAGGTATATGGAATACGTAGTACACTCTAACAGTGAAATTTAATACTCAACTGTTTTGTTATATTATGTTTCATATATCAATATAATTGATATCAATAAAAATCATAATATTCTTACTATAACCATCGAAACAACGCAGTGCACCAGTGCCCTTGCATGCAGTGAAGGGAAAAGAAGCACAATAGGGTTTTCAATCGAAAACACATTTATTTCTGATCAATTTAAAAAGTATCCACATTTTCTCAGTTTTCGATTGTAGATTCAATTTTTAATGTCAACTGCTATTCATCAACCTAAAAAAATGTTTTTGATTATATATTATGCAACGGAATTCATAATAAACAAAATGTCCTTAAATTTATAATTTCGTCTAAGCTCAAATGATTTGAGTGGAAACATTTTTGAGGTATCAAAATTATCTCTAATAAAATAATATAAATTAATTGACTAAAACTAATCCTATAGACATTTATGACATGGGTT